AGGTTTGGTTGGCGGGCCTTAATGACCCATATATATATATACAGTTGGATCGACAAATCTATTGATATTCTTTGTCGTAGGTAGAAGCCTTCTTTTAGATCACCTGTGATTCATTTGCCCTATTATTTTGAATAATTTTAGGGCTTGGGGTCCAAATGATCTACAGGTGTCTGACTACCCGAACAAACAAAAAGATTTTTAAGGTGGCTATATTTATATTTTGTACTTTCAGCTAGTGTTGGAGTTAACATTAAAAGATCTGGCAAAACGATCTACACATGTTTAATCCCTAGCTAGGGGTAAACCTTGGTTCCAAGGGGCTAGCTTTGTGCCAAATTAATTTTAAATTAAATTTAAAATTTTGTTTAAAGGTCTGATTGTGTTCGCAAAGGATATGTTCAAATAGATTTTCTTTTCTTAAATTGTTACATTGCCGGGTTTTATGATTTTAATCAAATTTAAGTAATAAACCTATTTTTTAATATCTGGAATTTCATATAAATGTATTTTTTTTAAATTTTTCTAAATTAGAGCATAAAACTTAGTATAAGGAAAGACAAAGATTTCGATTATTTTGGAATTAAATAATTTTGTATAAAATGCTAAATTAGTTATCATTACTTACTAATAAGAAAAGACGACTATGAAAGAAAAACAAAATATTAAAATGCAGATATCAAATACCATTTTCTTTTAATAAAAGAATAATCAAATAACCTTCATTCTATAGGCTAATTAATTTTTTTGAAAATTAGGGAATTATCTAGGGTATTTTTGCCATGGTCCTCTTGTTCAGGATTTTTTAGCCTTCTAAAAAAAGTAGGTAAATTCTATGATCTAAAGTGTTTTCCAAATTATACAATAGGATAGGATGCATGCATATATAATTAAATAAAAAATAAATTATCTAATACCCTTCCCTTGTAATTCTTATTAGAGATCTGCAAAAGTAGGCCCGCGCCGTGCCTAATATTTTTTAAGAAAATCTCGCCGGGTCGGGTCGGGCTTAGAAATTTTTTAAAATATATCATTTATCAATTTTATGTTGAATATATTTCCTTTTCACATCCCCATGGACCATCACCATCCTTCTTTTACCCCATTTGAGGATAGATAGGGTTGTCCATTAATCAAACAATAATGATAATAGATCGAATAACAGTGACAGGACGTACCTACAAATTATCGCCCCAGAAAATTCTATTAATAAGCGCTAAATGGGATAAGATTAATACAAGAAGTATTTTTTTTATAATTGTTTGTATATAAAATTTATAGAAAGTAGACGCCAAATAACATATATCGTTTATTTTGAGTAATTAATTTCTATATTTAAATAAATTCGGGCCTGGCCGACAAAATTTTTTTAAAAAAATTTCGGGTTCGGGCCGGTCTGGGCAAAACTTAATCAAAAAATTTTGGGTCGTGCCGGGCTTGAATAATTAGGCCCGATGCAGATCACTAATTCTAATTATCACAATTTTCTTGACAGAAAAAACTCCAATATTATACAGTTCTATTTGAATTAACATTAAAATATATATATTTGCAGTAAGTTTAAAATAAATATTTGCAACAACTGTATATATAAATATCATATTAGCAAATATTTGAGTGAAAAAATCATTAATTCTTAATACATAACCTGAAACCCATTTTTAGAATTAATAGACCATTTTAAAATTTATAAGAACCAGAAAGTAACTTATAATGTAACTGTAACTAATAACTAGTTACATTTATAAAAATGTAAATAGTAACTGTAACTAGTTATGCTTCAAAAGTAACTTTAACGACACTAAATAAAAGGTAATTAGAATATCTTTTGTCTTTTGATTATAATGATAATAATCCTCTAAATGAGCGAGTCTATGTCGTGGTAGGTCAGGAATATTTTATCAACACAAGATATTGATATGGGTATCAAATAGAAGCTAGGGTGGATAATATGGGTATCAAATAAAGAATAATTAAAATATATTTTGGCTGAAATAATAGTATTCACTCTTGGTCTTAATTGGTTGGACTTGATCAGGAGGGGGAGAAGTAAACACTCAAAATTTGATATAGTCATCAAACAAATGGTGATTAAAATATTTTTTTATTGTAATGATAATTATCACTCTAGTTAGGCGAGTCTACAACCTGGGAAGGATGGAGGGGGTCAATAATATTTTTATCAGCACAAAATATTGATATGAGAATCAAATAAAAGGTAAATAAAATATCTTTTGACTTAGAGGCAGTGTCTATGTATTGGGAGGTCAGTATCAAAATATATATTGATATGGGTATCAAATAGAAGATAGAAGGTAATTAAAATTAAAATTCAGATTCCCAATCATTTTTGACGGGCAATCAGCTTGTTTTATAATAATATTTGCTATATTTTTTCAAATAAAATTTTGTTAAAGGGTATAATGAATATTTAAAAAATTACAATTGATTAATTAAATTTAGTATGGTAATATAAATAATTGTATCTTGAACAAATGTTTCAAATTTGTATATATTTGATTTCCAACATGAGCGTTTTGATGCACTAAAAAAAGTATAAATATAAATTTATAGACTATATAACTTAGTAAAAAGAATTCAAACATTTTTAATAATAAAACCTTAAAAATTATTATGTTTTCTGGGTTTTTGACGATAATATCATACGTGGCAAAAGGTTTTGTAGATGTTTCACTTTTGTTAACACGGATCCAAGATGGCCAAAAACTTGTTTCAGGAGAAAATGATGTGCTCATCAATTGGGCCCTAAATTTTTCACCATCAATCCAGATATCTAGAGAAATTTATTTTTTGTAAAAACATGGAATATTTTTATTTGTATTAAGAAATCGGACTAGTGGCGTCTAGTTAGGCTAGGTGCAAAAGCATGCTTAGGTTCTTTACTAATGACGCCAATATTTATCTATGACAGCAACTTAAAAGTTTTAACAATAATAATTAAAAAAAATATAATTAATCATTAATACCTAAAATAGTATTTGGATAAATTCTAACCAATATTTCAACATGGCATATTCCCGGCTCAATAGAAAAAGTAATTTCACCTACTTTTAAATAAAATATGTATAAATATTTAATGCTTAGAGAATTAGAATGTCGATTAAAATATAATTATTGAATAAATAAATTCTTCCCATCCTGATCTACTAAGTTTACCCCTTATCTGCCCAGTGGCATAGGCATAGCCATGTTATATCCGGGGAAGATGCTTCAAACAAAGTCCTAATTTTCCAGCCGGTAGGGTCCAGCTTGTGGAAATTTATGATTTAGTATTTTTATTTTAAATATTTCTTATTTATCAAGGATTATTTTTATCTTTTTTTTAAATATATAAGTTAAGGTTATTACAATTTAAATAGATAATTGGTTGGCTTGTTTAGTGAGGTAAACCTATACTATTACTAAGTAAATTTCTGCACTTGAAAAAGGTCAAAATTTAATCCAATATGGTTTATATGAGATAATTTTAGAGAAATAGTAGAATAAAATTAAGTAACTGTCAACTATTTTTAAAAAAATTACGAAAGCAAATTTTATCAATATCATATATATACCCCCTCCCTCCCCCCATTTTTTGTCAACATATTAAATATAAAAGTATTATGAAAAAGCGAATGATTAATTTTTATTTCGATATTTATTGATCAGTAAAAAAAAAAGAAGAAATTATTTAGTAAAAAAATAATTTGTATAACTAATTATAAAATTTGGTAGTGATAGAAATCATTGAATGTCTTAAGATGCTCATAGGGTTAAATATTTCTTCCTATCACCGGACAATATTTTCTGAAACCGACCTCTTGTATTGAGTTAGGGCATGTAAGATCAAAAGGAGACATAGTTTGAACCAAACTGTGACCATAATACTAGTAATTTTGAATGAAATATTGGAGAATAACAGCCTTACTAAAACAAATTATTTTTACCCTATCATTTTTTTAAAATAAATTCCATTGAAAAGGTTTCGTCTAAATATTTGTAATAAAAAATATGGAGAACTAAGTGTAAAAATGTTAATAAGTTGAAGAACCAAATAGAACCAAAATATAAAAAGAATTAAATATAAAATTAAAATACTTTAGTAATAAATCAGATCATCATTTATTTCATAATGTTACAAAATTAAGGGCAAATCATTATAATCATAAATTAAAAACTTTAAAAAATACAAGTATCAAAATTAAAAAAGGATAGGGGAGAAAAATTTTCCTATTCTGGCAAATATCATTTTAAGCTAATAACCCTCCCCCCCCCCACACCCTCCACCCCCCCCCCTCCTCTCAATAAAAAATATGACTAAAATTTTAAATATATATAATATAATTTTTTTTATTGCATCTCAGCAATAATAACATTTCCATTAGGACTTGAAAATCACGTTCCGGCCCTCTATTTTAAAAAAATAATTTCATGGGCCTAAGATTTTTTAAATCAGGCCGGGCGGGCTTAATTTTTTAAATATTATATCATTACATTTTGTCAATTAATAATTGGTATATTTTAAAATTTTTGCAAATAAGGCGCCAATATTTTATCTTTGTAGAATATATTTTTTAAAGGGCCGACAAATAATTTTTATTTCGGGTTAAGCTTTTCGGAATTATACATATTTTTTATATAAGAAAAATCATTAAAATTTATTTGAGTATTTTTTATAGTATTATTATTTATTTCAAAAAAATTATCCATATTAAGTGGCATTTTTGATCTGGCTAGAATCAATCTGAAATTATAATAGTTGGAATAAAAATTATGTAAGGGATAAGTGGATGGTCATGTTTTTCAACTGGTCAGCCACCCCCTAACTTTTTATCTATTAAACCAATTTCTCTCAAAATTGATTAAAATGTGAAAGGAATGATAAGTATTTTATAGCATGTTTTGATAAAATTTATTATCCTTCTCCGTCTAATGGCGATTTCCAGGTTGGCCAATTTCTCTGATTTTTCTTTTCCATTTTTAACAGTCCTGAGCATCTATACTTGTAAGATTCATTTTTCTCATATCCGCCGTTATCACATTTATCCACATTATCTTGAGCCTTCCTCTAGGTCTTGATCTTCCTACTTCCATCAAAAGTGCATCTCTTTACCCAGACATCTTATATCTTACGATTCACATGCCCAAACCATCTTAGTCTATTTTTTTGTATTACCACTCCAATCATTTCTATACCCAATCTTATTCGCATCCATGCTAGTTTTTCTCTCTCCCAAAGATACTCCACACATCCATCTAATCATCCTCATCTCTGTTCTTTAAAATTTGGCTTTGTGGGTCGCTCTCATTGCCTTCGCCGCCATAAACTAAGCAACTCCTCACACATATTACGTAAACTTTCCCCTTTAACTTCAGAGAAACTTTTTTATTTGTTAGAATAGACGACATCTTTCTGAACATCTTCCATGCTTCTATGACCCTTGCAATAACAGCAGAATCTATATCAATCTGCGTTTAGCATAACACCCAAATAACAAAACTTATCGAGGGTTAACCCATTGCCCAAGTTTTATATAACCCTTTTATGCACGTTCTACAAATAAAGGTCATTCTTGCTAACATCACTTTTTTCCCGCTACATCTATTATGCACCCATTTCTGGCATCTGGTGCATTGGGTTAAATTTCTAGCATTTCCTTTCCCACATACACCATAAGGCCAGTTGCCTGATTCCTTCATCTTCAGATTATCTCCACAAATCATAAGCTTTGTCTTTGCTGCGTCATCTGCATATAAGAGCTCTCAATTCCTCTCCCGGTATTACTTTCACATTTTTTACTATACTTCTATCACATCTCCTTAATAACAAGTAATCCACTGCACTTTTGGTACTACCCGACTTATAAGTCACCTAGTATCACTAAAATCGAAAATCCTCTCCCCTTACAGATTTCTCATGCCGTAACTGAATCCTCCATGTACTCCTTCATAACCCCCATTACTCGTTCCCACATGTCCGATTAGATCACCAGCCAGGATAATCCCCTCTTCATTTCCCAGTCTCGATGTCGCCCACAGTAGGCTGTCCCAAAATATATCTTTCTCTTCACTACTTCCAACCAGAAAAATATATCAAGATAATATTATATAGCTTTCTACCAAAAATTATCTTGATAACCATTATCTGGTTGTCTAGCCTTCTCACTTCGACTACTTTGCCCACCAATTTTTCTGCAACCAAAACCGCAACGCCAGACTTACCATCATTACTTCCTTGACATAAAAATTTGTACTTTTCACTTGTCCTGCCAATCGTTTTTGCGCCATTACCTTTCCATCTGGTTTCTTATGCAACCCACATCTATATGCCTTCTATGCAATACATCGACCACTTCTCCCGCTCTTCCATCATGCTCCCAACATTCTATGTCGCAACCTCTATACTCCGTAAACTGGTTTCTTTACTTATTATCAGGTCGTTTATGGCCGTCATATGTTTCATTTTCACGAATCGTGGTTTCACCAGGTTTCCCATCCTTCATTTTGTCGTAGGCGAATGAGGAGGTCCATGGGGTACTTTGGGCTGTACCTTGCCCATGCTTTGTTGTAATCATTAGGAATTTTGTAGCAAGGTTTTTACAATCGGATGCCCTTCCTGACATCAACCCCTTTAGTTGATCTTTACACCCCGTCGAGTAGACTGTGATCTATTCTAGACCCAGACCACAGGGAACCTTTTAGATTATTTCCACACCCCTGCCACGATGAGGCTGAAGGTAGGATTTATGGATAGTTTGATAAAATTTATAAATATATAAGTATATGTGGTTAATTTTAAGCATTTTAACATCCAGATAATAATTTATAAAATATTATTATTAAATAGATGTTTGATGATAAAATGAATACTAATTATTTATATATTATAATTCTTATATAATATCTTATGGCCAGTTCAGTTGAAACATACCAAGTTTGAACTTGGCTAGAAAATCAACTTTGGCTTAAACTCATCTAGCTAAAAAATTATTATAGATGCAGTTTTGATTCAAATTTTATTTTAAAGATTAAAGATTGGGCTACACATTGATATTAAATCTGTTAGATATATTCCTTTTAAATGTTTTCTCGTTGAAGCTACTAGTCTTGTTTGGTGATTAAACCTTCCTGTACAATTAAAATGAAATTTATTCCCTATGTTAATTTTTTTTATCGGGATTATTGTATTTTGTTAATTCAGGTGCATATTATCATCATTTTCCAGGGAAATCACTTTGTCGATATGATCTGTACCAAAATTATCTTCAATATCAATATCTAACGTCGACATTTTAAATTATTTTTGAAAACTAGATTTATTCAGATTTTTAAATATAAATTTCAATTTCTAAATTAAACTGAATAAAATGATTATGATTTTAGAATTGATTATAAATATATTTTAACACTCTTATGGGCATTTATTATATAAAATTAAAAGTAGCGAAATATTAGCATCATTCCAAAATTATAATAGAATTTAAATGGATTTTAGAAAATTATTTAGCTTGTTTCTTTCTAAAATTTCTAAATCTTAATCTCATCTTTAATGATCTGCTTGTATTTTTCTTCTCAATAACATCAACTAGTAATATCTTTATTGTCTTAGAAATCTCCTTCTTTCTTAACTATCTAACATTTTTAAATCGCATTAAACCATGTTTTTTTCTAGATTTTCAACCGCCTTTGATAGCTATTTTTCTACTTAGTAACAAAGTATTAATTTTTTATTTTTGTTTTTTTAAATTCAATTTTTTATTAAAATTCATATACAAATATGATAAAATATTATTATTTAAAAATTTAACATTATAATATAGAGAATATAATAATATATGTCATATATCAGTTTAAGTTAAAAAAAAATACAAATGTATATTTTTATAAAAATAAAAACATTTAAAAAAAAAATATCAAATGGCGAGGTCGGGCCATGATGTTTTAAATATTTGATAATTAGATCTAATTAGAGATACGGCGATTTTCTGCTTGAGTTTGTAAAATGGAGAAAGGTATGATTTTTTTATTGATTTGGATAATATTTTGAATAGATCTAAAGCCGCTTGTCCAAAAGAGCAGGTTGATGTAGCTGCTATTGGAACAAAGTGGTTATCACACATTAGGTGTGAGTATTTTATATTTTTTAGAGATTCGGCTCTGTTAAGGGGATCATGGGAATTATTAGATGGAGCCATGGGATCAATGCAGGTAAAATCACATTAAAGGCTTTCCCATGAAAAAGGTACGACGGTTTTGCCATCAGGGCGTTTTTTATCTATAAAGGATGTAGGTTCTAAAAGGGAAAATTGGCTTTATTTAAAAAAGAAGCTATTATTGCATTTATTTTATCATGTCGGCTGATTTTTGATATAAATTTAAGTGGAGAGAGAGCGTGTCTCCCATACGCGTCTGCCGATTGATGGCATTTAATACAAATATAATGGTTTAGGGAAGGTACGCCCAATCGTAAATTGATTGCATAACGAAAAGCGTCGTTATCTATTAGCTGGTTATTTAAAATACTGGGATGAATCTAACCATTCATGGCCAGAGTTGTTGAAATTAAGAGATCTTAGGAGAGATTTATATTGGTGATCATCGCTCAAGTTGAGGTAAGCTAAGGAACGAGATACCAATCCTTGACCCCAATCTTTTTGTTTCGTTGAATCTGGCGGGGCTGTGTTTGGTAAGCCATTAATATTCCAACAACGTAAGGCTTCATCTAATAAATTATCTTTATCGATGGTAATAATTTGCGAGGTAATATTTTTTACTGATAAGGTTGATGAGATGTAGGAAACAAGGGCTATACTTAATGCCGATCATAGCTAATTTTCTACGTAACTGTATTTTCGCAAGGCCATTATCGCGAGCGCAATACCAGGCTCAGACTTGAAACAAAGTGACTATAACTATGAATTAAAAAATTTTTTTTTAAATTAGCTTATTTAATACTCTTATGGAGATTCATTTTAAAGTAAGTTTATACACCCCCTCCCCACCCCTTTATCTATGAGCTATATCAAAGAACCTATAAGGATAATAGCATTCGAAGAATAATTTTATTCGCTTTCATTTGTTGCCCTTGTCGGATATTTCCTGCAAAAGAAATTTAAATATCTCTAAACCTTGACATGAGACCTAGAGAAATTCATGAGTAATTTTAATGGTACTCAAATAATTTTATCTATTTGACACCCTTGTCTAGATATGTTTTTGGAAAAATGCTGAACCCCAGCCCCTGACAAACTAGAAGATATATAGTTATGATTAATTTTAAAACTCAAATAATCATGTTTATGCACTTCAAAATAAAAAAAATAGTGAAAATTTCTGAAGGATATATTACATTTTCAATGAAATTCAATTCTGAGAAAGTTAAAATTTTTGCTGAGAAGAATCATCTTTTGGAAATTCAGTAAAATTACTTTGAGAAGTTTTAATTCTAAATTAAGGGGAAAAAATAATATATGTTAAAGAATTTAAATTTATTGTAATTATGCATTACATACTGGCTTAAGCTTCAGAATTAGTGCTTGCCAATTAGCAAACTTCTTGCCTAAGACTGCATCTCAACATTAGATTCAGATTCCTATCAAATTTTTTGAAAATATAGCTAATATTTTATACAGAAAAGATATAAAAATAATCTATAAAATCATAAGATTCAAAAATATTTTGAAATTGAGAATATTCCTTATTTCACTTAGATGTAATTCATTTTCGAATCGCCATTCAAAATTTGATAAAGATAGTCAAATGAGTTTATCGCCTAGCAACATTTTATCACGCGACACTTTATCATGTGCCACTATATCACGCGATTTATCACGACGATATTATATCACGGAGACACTTTATCACGGCGACACTTTGTCACAACGACACTTTGTCACAACGACACTTTGTCACGACGACACTTTGTCACGACGACACTTTGTCACGACGACACTTTGTCACGACGACACTTTATCACTCAGTCATTTAACGCGATACTTTATCATGCGATAGTTGAACTCGCGACATTTTATCATGCGATTTATCATGATATACTTAAAACTTAATATAATATATTTGAAAAGTTAAATTTTGAT